GTGACTGTCTGTTTGGAGTTTGCACACTCCCTGCGTCTGTGTGGATTTTCTCCCAGTGCTCCAGTTTCCTCCCACAGTCCGATGATGTGCATGTTAGGTGGACTGGCTATGCTAAATTGGCCATAATGTCCAGGGTTGTGCAGATTATCCATGGGAAATGCAGGGTTACAGGGATAGGGTAGGGGGTTGAGTCTGGTTGGATGCTCTTTGGAGAGTTGATGTGGACTTGTTGGGTCGTTTGGCCTGTTTCCACACTGTAGGGATTCTTAAAAAAAAATTCTGTCCAGCTTAATAGTATCCCTCCTGTAAGTAGACGACCAGAACTGGACATAGTATTCCAGAAGAGGCCTCACCCAAGTCCTGTACAACCTCAACATGACTTCTCAAAACACCTTTCTAAATTAAAAGCTTTGCCTCTATGCAGTCTGTATCCCTCTATTCGCTGCCTATTCATGTCTCTGTATGATGCCTTTTAAACATTGCTATTATGTCTGCTTTTATCCTTCCCACAACCTCTGTGCGCATTCTCTGTGTAAAAAACTTACCTCTTACTTTTTAAACTTTCCCCCTTTTACCTTAAACCTATGTCCCCTAGTAATTAACATTTATACACTGGGAATAAAAGACTGGACTATCTGTTTTATCCAAGCCTCTCATAATTTTGTAAACTTATATCAGCTCACCCCTCATCCTTCAACATTCAAGTGAAAAAAATGGTGACCAGAACTGTATGCAATATTCCAAATGTGGCCCAAGTAAAGTTCTATATAGCTGCAACATGACTTGCCAATTTTTATACTCTATGCTCCAATTGATGAAGGCAAGCATTCTATATGCCTTCCTGACTACCTTATCAAAGTGTTTGCCACTTTCAAGGAACTGTGAAGCTGTACACCTAGATCCCGCTGTATGTTCTGTTATTTACCATATACTTCCCTCCTGCATTAGACATTGCAAAATGCATCACGTTGCACTTGTCCGGATAAAATACCATCTGCCATTTCTCTGCCCAAGTGTCCGTCCTATCTATATACTGCAGTAGCTTCAGGCAATTCTCCTCACTCTCCGCGGTTCACCCAACCTTTGTGCTGTCTGCAAACTTACTAATCAGACCACCTATGTTCTCCTCCAAATCACTTATATTTATTACAAACAACAGGGGTCCCAGCATTGATCCCTGCACAACACCACTGGTTATAGATCTCCAGTAAGAAAAAAAAACACCCTTTCACTCTTACTCTCTGTATTCTATGACCAAGCCAGTTCTGTAACCATTTTACCGGCTCACCATGGATCGCGTGACTTCACCTTCAATATCAGCCTGCCATGAGGACCTTGTCAAAGGCCTCGCTAGAGTCCATGTAGACAGCATCCACCACTCTACCCTCATTAATTATCTTTGTCACTTCATCAAAAACTCAAGTTTGTAAGACATGACCCCCTTCACACAAAGCCATGCTGCCTATTGCTATTAAGTTCATATATTTCTAAATGTGAGTGAATCCTATCCCTAAGAATCTTCTCCAATAATTTGCCTACACTGATGTAAGGCTCACTGGACTGTAATTTCCTAAATTATCCCTGTTGCCCTTCTTAAACAAAGGAACAGCATCGGATATTCTCCAGCACTCTGGGACCTTTCCTGTGACTAAAGAGAATGCAAAGACTTTTTACAAGACCCAGGAATTTTCTCTCTCAGCATTTTGGAATAGACCCCTTCAGATCTTGGGAACTTGTCCACTAAAATGCTTTCCCAAGCAACTAACTTTATTTTATATTGACATGCCCTAGAACATCAACATAGCCCTCTTTAGACTAACTATCTAACATGTTCTGAGATATTTTAGAGTAGATTTGTAGCTCGAGTTGTGGATATTGTGGTTGGTTGGCTTGCCGAGCTGGTTCATTGCTTTTCCGCAGACATTTTATTACCCTGCTGGGTAACATCATCAGTGCAGCCTCCGATGTAGCGCTGTTGCGTTTATCGACCTCTTATTTGAAATCTGGAGTCCTCAATGGCCTGAAACATCTAAATCTTGGAACAGTAAGCTGCCAGTCTTGTAACTTGTAATGATACAATGGCTTTTAGAAGTGTATTATGTCCTTTTTTTTCCTGAAGAATAGTTTTGAGCCACAGGTACCAAGTTGTCTATTTGAAGCCAATAAACTAAACAGATGATATGGCCTTGCAGTTTTTTTTTAAGTTGGAACAATAAAAGCAGCATGAATGGGTGGACTCCCACAGAACCAGGGTTTTAATTTAGCTTTCAGCAGTTGTTAAGGTTTTGAAACTGCCACACATCTCTTCCTGCTACAGCAAAATGCTTGAGCTCTTTCTCCCTGCCAGAAATTTTTCTTGAAGTTCTTTCCTCCTGGATTGGAGAAACACTGCATGTGAGACAATCTATTTTATTGAATTTGCCTTTGCCAAGTGTATGTTTATGGGATGTTATTATATTTAACTACTAAACAGCAACCGTTCCAATCATCTATTATTCTGTTATGTTTTCCAACAGAGTTAAATTATTCCAATTCTTCTTTGTTTGGTTTATATTTGTGTTTTGTTTAAAGTCAAGTACTGTGATCATTTGATTTACATATGGAACACAGCACATTACACTTGCCTTTAAATAAAAGGGCTTAAGCTTTCTCCTTGATATATTTGCAGGGGTTTGGTCCGTAACAACCTCTCACAACCAAGTCTTTGTAATAGCTACAACATCATGTATGTATTAATCCAAGCTCTAAGTTCATCTGCCTTGATTGTCATACACCTCATGTTAAAGCAAGTACACTTCACACCACCAGTTCTGCCATGATCAGTGTCTGTTCTTAGCCTTACTGGCCTTGCTCTCTGATTCTTCCTCGGTCATTTCACTTGCTGACCTACTGCTCTCGTTCCCAACTCCTGCCACACTAGTTTAAACCTTCTTGAGTGACCCTAGAAAACATCTCTGCCAGGATATTTGTGGTTCTCCAGTTTGGGTGCAATCCATCCTTTTTGTACAAGTCCCACTTGCCCTGGAAGACATCCCAATGATCCATATATGTGAAATCCTTCCTCATACACCAGCTCTTTAGCCAAGTATTTAACCATCTCCCTATTACTAGCCTCACTGACACGTGGAACAAGAAGTAACCCCAAGATTACAACCGTAAAGGTCCTGCTTTTCAATTTCATACCTAATTCCCTTTGCAGGACATCATCACTATTCCTGCTTATATCATTATTAGTACCAATGTATACCATGACTTCTGGTTGCTTGCCCTCCCTTTGAGAATGTCATGTGTTCACACAGAGACATCCTTGACTAGGGAGGCATCACAACATCCTAGAGTTTCGTTTGTGGCCACAGAAATGCCTGCCTGCGCCCACAACTATAGAGTCTCCTATTACTACTACTCTACTGTTTGACCATCTCTGCTGTAAAATAGTGCCAGCTGCTACTGTCGCCATCCCCGATAGGCAATTCTCCCCCAACAGAATTCAAAACAGGAGGGTAGCCACAGGAGCCTCATATACTGTCTGCCAGTCCCTTCTAGCAGGCACCCATCTATCTGCCTGAACCTTGGGTGTGACCACATCTCTAATATTCCTGTCTTTGATGCTTTTACCCCTCCTGCATGTTCCTAAGTGCGTCCAATCACTGATCTATGTGGTATGACAGGACACACTTTTTGCAGGTGTAGTAGTCAGGGATATTCAAACTGTCTCGGATTTCCCACATTCTGCACAAGAAGCATACTACCCCACTGACTGCCATTTTTACCCTCTAGCAACTATTTAATTAAAAATAAATTTCTATTAAATTAATTTACAACTAACTGGTTGGTCTCTGTGCTAGATTCTCACTAAAAACAAATACCAAATACACGATTCTGTCAACAACAGTCCAGGTATTATCCTAAATCTCAGTGCTTTACTGCAGGTCAAATGGACTGCTTCTGTGTTAAACAAAAACTCTTCATGCCCCTAATTAAAACAAACTGGAGCTTCTATTCTACTATTTCCATCCAATATTCCCTCAAATTATTTCTTCTGCTACATGAACCTCCAAGGTTGGTGTGTGGCATTGGCTCTGAAGTGGAAGTTAGTGTGTTGGCATGCCAATTGGTATGTGCAGTACGTCTCTGTGGCTGCACAAACACTTAGAAAGAACGTTGCTTCTATTTGCTGCCTGCTGTATGAGATTGAGTGCTGAGAGGTAAGGACAGTGATAGCTTTATGGTTAGTGCTTATCATTATCATTCTTATCATTAATTATTTCCTCTTGAGAGAGTATCCCTCAGCTAGGGCATGAGCAACATGCCATTACAGAGGTGAAGTAGCAATTTGTAATAACTGGAGTGGGGAAATTAAAACTGCAGGTTTACTATAATATTTACTGATTTTGCCAAAGTCCCAGGAATTTACAATGTAAATGATTTCAATTAGGATCTGAATGATTCAAAAACAATAATCATTCATTAGTACTTATCCAATGTAATCATAGTGAAACACACTCAAAATTTATCTCACTTTCAAATAATGTATTTAATACACACAGGAACTGATTTATAGTTCGGTCACAGTAGCCGTATGGGCACTTTTTATATTTTCAGTGCTTAAAAAAATGAACATTTGCTGTACAGGTGGACTGAACTAATTTTTAGAATATATTGCATTCCTGGGGTGCATTAAATACTCAAAGCCAGTAACAGTTACAGCTGTCACAGAATTGGTGACCATCCTGAACGTTATCCTGCTATAAATATAGGAGAAATAACTCCATCAGATTAGAACTCAAGTGTTTGCCTGAAAGAATTTGAAATAATTTGGAAACCCTGCACAGAGGGGTCTTCCTATGTAGACAAACTTCTGCCAAGGGCAGCTTACAGATCGTCGAATGTGATTCCATTTTGGCTATATTTACAAATTTCCCATACAACGCATGCCAACTGCACTTTCTTTCAATTTAGCAAAACATCAAAATTTATACAGTATCAGACATTAGTCGCTGTTTGCAGCTGCAGATATGCCTTTTATTTTGCAGAATGAACTTAGTGCCTTGCAGACACATTGGTATTGTCACATAGAAATCTTTCAAATTAGAAATATATTACCATGATGTGCATTCATAGATTCACGTAAATTGCTTATGTAAGTCAGTGACACTGATCCCTTGTTTTCATAACTATTGGTCTTTATCTATCTTTTTACAGGAAAAGAGTTATCAGCAGACAATTACTGAAGGGTCTCAAGATGAATCGGCAGAACTAAATGTATTATCTCAAATGTTCTAGTGACTTCTTCAAAATTACAGAAAGTGAGCTTTCGTCATGGAGAACCCAATTTCTGTGTTCCTAGTGTTATCTGGTGGATTCAGTTAAGATTGTGGTTAGTGGCAACAAATGATATTGACAGGTGTCAACCTTGTATCAATGGCAGCATTTTCATGTCTGAGTGAGAAAATTGTGAACTTAAATCTTACTTCAAAAGCTAGGCGAGCAATTTAGTCAAGTACAGAAGGGATGTTTTAATGTTGGAGATGCTGCCTTTCAATTGGGTTTAAGTAGTCATTAATCATAGTTAGTGGGCATCTTAGGTCAGGAAAGGACAACAACTTAGAGACAGCCATAGGGTCATCAGAGTTAACCAGACTATATAGTGGCTAGTGAAATCTTGATGCCTGGAATGAAGCATTTTGTGGATTGCCAAAGCTATGGCCATTTACCATCCAAGTATAATCACTTAAATATCTGGGCAATTTCCCATATTATTAGGTACTATTGTAATAATGGCAGTCTAATAGCTTGGCCAGGGAATAGATGACTCTGATGAGATAACATTTAGCACTACAAGGATCTTGTCAAGGTCACTAATAATCTTTTCTTGTTCATGGAAAGTGAATGTCACTGGTAAGACCAATGATTATTTCCTGTCCCTAACAGTCGTTGAGAAGGTGAGCTGCATTTGGAACCAATTCAGTCCATTTATTGCACGTACACCCAAAGTGCTGTAAGGACAGTGTCCCACAAATTTAATCAGCAACAGTGAAGAAATGTGATATAGTTCCAAGTCAGCATTATGTGTGGCATCGAGGGAAACTTACAGGTCATGGTGCTCCCATATATCTGCTGTCTTTGTTCTTTTAGGTGGCACAGGTTTGGAAGGTGCTGTTGAAAGAACTTTGACAAGTTGCAATAGTGCATCTTGTAAATGATACAAAACTTGAATCACTGCATTTTGGTGGAGGGAGTGAACAGTTACGATGCTGGATGACATTCTGATCAAGCAGGCTGCAGTAAATTTGAAGCGTCAAACATCTAGAATTTTGTTGAAGCTGCACTCATCCAGGTAAGTGTGGAGCATTCCAACAGACTCCGGGTTATGTCTTGCACATGGTGGATAGACATTGGAAAATTGGAAGTTGAGTTATTAGCCAGAATTTCCAGTCTCTGTCCTGATCATGTAGCCACAGTATTCCCGATTTAACCAGAACAGTTCATTACAATCATGTTTATCCCCATTGTATTCCAGCTCTTTTGAGTTAAAAGCTACACTTTGAAAAAGCCAGCGCAAATACAACAGGAGGGATGGCCTCCTTCTGTGTTATATAGTCTTTTAAAGATTTCAGACACTCAAGTTTTAACGCATCAAGGAGAAAAAAATTATAACTGGAAAACAATGTATTGAATGATAAATGTTGAGAACTTTACAGTGAAACAATTGTGGTAATGAAAAGATTATAGTAGGAAAAAAGACTAATTTGGAATCATAATATTACAGCACAGAAAGAGGCCATTTGGTCCATTGTACTAGTGGCAGCTGTCTAAACACATGGTCTTGGGTTCACTACTCTCCAAATATTTACTCAATTCTCTTTATGATGAAAACTATTTTTGTTGTTTTATTGTATGCAATTTATACCATGTAAGCCAGCAATTTGTGAAAATGGTAGCATTCAAACAACAGAGTTCTAAGGAGTGGCAACATTTGATGTTTAAAATAGTTGTTACATTCAATTCTGATTAGGAACAAAGTGAGGGTTATTGAAAAGTTTTCAAAAAGACATTGAACTGTCCATTTAGTCATTTGGATCAAGGCAGTCAGGAAGCAGTCTTTTTGCCTTCAGGCTGCTAGCGAGTCAATTTCTTAGGAGCAGGGAGAAGAACCTTCATTCTGAAATGGTGCTGCTATTGTTGGCTCTGAACCAGCAAGATTCAAGATAAGTCTGGGGAGCCACAGAGCATAACCACATTTTGGGTTTTTGGCTCAGGAAGTAATTCTGGAAACTATGGGATCCAGAATAAGCCATGTACCATTAAGAGTTCTGTGTAGCTGATTGTGAAGGTGAAGAAAGCTAACAACCAGGGTATTTGCCTTTTGTACCTGAGCAAGATCAGAGCTTGAAGAAACAAGGGCAGTGCCAGCTTGGCAAAGCTAGCTGCCTATGGACTGGCTGAAATTTTGTCGATGATTAGGTACTAGAGTAGAGTATCTAGTATCACTGTTCCAGTTGGAAGAGTGAACTACCAGAACATCAGCCAGTGTTGAAACAGTCTGGGACAGAAAGTTTTTGACAAATTTCTGAAGCTAAGTCTTTAACAAGAAGAAATGAAACCCCTCAAAATCTGAAGGAGAATTGGCAATTCACTGTCACTAATTTCTGGGAGCAGATTGCTGAGAAATCACATCTGCTATTTGATATGCTGTGTGTTGTTTAACAGTGTGTTTGTTACCCTTATTCACCTCAGGTTATAATTTAACATCTAATTAGAATTAAATTGCATATATTATAGATTGTTTACTGTTGACTCTTTGTCCAGTAACATTTATTGTGGGGTCTCCAAAGTCATGGAATCTTACAGCTTTCTTCTCTACATACCTGGGATCTCACTCTTTAGCTGCTTTAAAAAGTTATTTGAATGCAAACCTGATCATAACATAAATTTGGCAGTCTAGTCCAGGATTACACATCCTGTAAATGTATTCTTCATTCACTTAGTACCTTGTCGATAAAACTACATTCTAACAACTCCTTGTGTAAACGTCTCTCAACCTGTCCTTTGTTCTTTCAAGCCAATTCCAAAGATATACCCTTCTTGTTACTGAATTACCAGTGAAAATTTGTTTATCCTGTATCTTACCAACTCTTTCATAATTTGAACATTGATCTTTCAAATCTCTAATCCGAATAATGGCTCATGCCTGGTATTGTCTCAAGTTTTTAAAATTATTTTGATTGTACTTTGGCAACGATGACAATTCAATCTTGAAAGTTGATGCAACATTCTAACTGTCGCCTAGCCAAGCATTTGTGTAGATTTAATATTAGCTTTTTGCACTTGAATTCCATCATATAGATTTTCCAAAATTTCAGATGTCAGATAAAGCATCAGATATACATGCCAGTGCTGACTGAGGTAGTCTCCCATGGGCACAAGTACAGAAAAACAAAATCATGCTCCTATTTATAAAACTTACTTAGAAATACAAATTAATCAACTTGTCCTCCAACTTTATCATGTTCACAAAATGCTAATTATAATCTTACAAGTGGATTCTCCATTTATTCAAGTTAGGTAGGGGGAAAGGACTTACAATTTCATTTTGTGCTTTCAGTGAAATAGCCTGTTGGAATTCTGTGCCATTATTTCATAAGAGTTGTGTAGTAAATCACTGGCAGTCAGAGAGGATCTGGTATTGCAAAATCAACGGGAGCTAAATACCCTGCTAAATAATACATAATACTGGCTATATATAACAATGACCACAATTCTCAGGGGATATATGTTAGCTTAACACATCAATTCATTTCTTGGGCATCTTTAGTTAATGAGGATTAGCACTTCTGTAACCAAGAACATTCTTTAAAAAGAAACATATTGATTCATGTCACATCAGTGGTTAACCTACCGCATTATGACACCAAAGATACCAAGAACTGCACATGCTGGAGTTAGAGTCAACACAGTGTGGAGCTGGAGGAACACAGAAGAAGAAGGATCCCAACCTTAAACGTCAACTTTCCTACTCCTCTGATGCTCCTGACCTGCTGTGTTCCTCCAGCTTCGCATTATGACACCAAAACTGAATTGTATCAACCACTGAATAGCAAAGGTTCATAGAAAGTACATAAGAAGCCTCTGTAGGATTGTAATCAAAAAGAAATTTGGACTCTCTCAGTGGACAATTGATGCCAAGTTGATTAACAAATATTTTTTGAAAGTGTTATTTTCTGTGTTAAAATGATTTTACAAGTACAAGATGCTGCATAACTGGACTACAAAAGTCTTTCAGAAAGTACAAGGCAGTTCATGTCACCAATGTGAAATTTCTTCCAGAGCACTTTAATAGCACAGTGCTATCCATGCTATTCTTCATGCGTAAAAGAATCAAACAACGTAATTAGCATTATTGCCAGAATATGGACACAATCAGCAACCTTTCACAAATCTTATCAGGACTCCAATGAATAAAATTCTACAAACTCTTTAACTAGTATAAAATTACATAACATTGGTATTTTGCATCAGTAGCCTAGTATAGCCAATCAGGAAACAACAGCCATGGCACAGTGAGGTAAACTATTACAATGGGTAGACTTGGACTGCCAGCTGTGCAGGGTCCTCCCAAGGAGGACCAGTCCATTTTGAGGGATGGGCTTCAGTAGCACAGGGCCAGAAAGCTGCAAGCAAAACATTAAAACTCTGTGGCAGCTTAGTGACTCCGAGTCACAGCAAAGTTGGGCAGTCTGACTGGCCTTCAATGCAAATTCAATCTAACCCTGAAAAGAGCAGGGAGGCAGTTTAAATAGAAGAAAACTGTGTGGTAGCACCCTTTATGCTGACCACTGAGGAGCATTCCTTTTCCTTACAGCTCCACAAAGTCAAATTTAAAATTATTTACATTTAGTTCCACTCAAGTTACACTGCCACCTGATGCTGGGTGGCGTTTACAAATACTGTCCTAAAATAACAATCGTGGTAAAGCACTGGATCCTTGCATAGTAAAGTGGTCTACAGCCTGACTCATGATGTATCTGTCTGCACTTGGCACCAACCAGATTGGAAATAGTAAAAATGCAGGAAGCATTGTCCTGCTATTTTAGAGAGTTACTGCACTGTTTTCAGCTGGTATAATCAGTGAAGACTATCCCAGTATTTCTACAATCAAACTAATGTTACCATATGGTTATATTTCTGTTAAGTAGATATAGGTATAAAATGCCTGTTTCTGCTCAATTCAGAGGTATTGTGCTCATAATAATTACTTAGTAGTTTTTGTTATGCTAAAAACATTTATCACAGATTTAATGTAATCAACTTTGTTATAAAAAACGCTTTAAAAATCCCAAGCTTTACAATTTTTTGTCATACCAAAACAAGTTTTCTTCAAAGGTTTACTTGTGCCAAAAAATTTGCAATTTGTATTTCCATCATCCCATATCTAAGCAATAAACCCAATAAAATATTTTCTTGTCCAAGAATAATAGTCAATAGTCCAAAGCACACTCCTCTAAGATATTTTGTCCAAATCAGGCAGATGTCTAGTACAGAGTCTTTTTCTGTGCAGAATGCAGTAATTTCAGCCTTGGCTATCCGAGGAAGAAGGGCAGAATTTCCAGTTAGCAAATTTAGGAACAAAATCCCAGTCAGGTGCAAATTGATGGCACAGTTACCACTGCAATCCTACTCCCCATTTCAGTCAACTATACCATTGTAAGACTTGTTATGCATTGTTGAAAGAATTTCGACAGTATGTGTGGTTATGGGTTGTCTGTACAGTGGGTTGGTTGCCTGAAAAGGAAAAATAAAGTGAGGGTTAACAAAGAGAACTTACTTAAAGTTGAATTCTATAAAGTTTTTTTGTCCCCACCAAAACCACTGTCCAATCAAACAAGGTAGAACTTGCGTGAGCGAATTTAGCATGGGTCTGATTATTGCTGAACCACTAATTTGAAGGCCAAAATAGTGTTTAATATTATGATTTAGGTGAGCTCCTACTAAATTCACAAAAATACTCCATTCTGCTACCAGTCCATTCGAGCAGCTCACAACCTCATTTGCAATCTCTAACTCACTGGGGGCACCTGTGTTAAGTGCAATCTGACGATGGCAAAGGCCTCCTGATGGCCAGCTATGGACAGAAATTTAATATCAGGCCCATTCGCTCACAAAAAAAAATCAGCATTTGAACAAATCAGTAGCAAATTGAAAGCAAAGCAGATTGTATCTCACACAAATATGTTTGACGTAGAAATAGTTAAATGTGATACAGAAAAGAATCCAGACAATATTGTTAGAGTTAGGCAAAGAGGAGTCAGTGGAGTCTAATATTATTAATTTAAGTGATTTGGATTTAAATTATTACTATGACCCTCCACTCACCCCTCTTTACCTAACCTAACAATATATCTGGTTACTCCTTTCATCCATATGTGCTTATCTAGCTTTAGTTGAAAGCACCTGAGACATTTGCCTCAACCACTCCTTCTGATAGCACATTTCCTACAAATTTGAATTCCATATTGGATTTATTAGTGTCTCTCTCATACTTTTAGTGTTTAGTTTTAATCTCCCTCATAAATAATTACATCTTCATTATACCTATAAAACCCTTTCATCATTTTAAAAATCACCAACAGTTTCTCTCTCTTCTCAAAAGCCTGTTTTATTTTTCATGATAGTCATAATCTCTTGTTCTGGTATCATTTTTCAATATCTTTCTGGTACTGACTCTAATGATTTCACATCCTTTCCACAATAATGGAGACCAGAACTGTGTAAAGTACTACACATGATCTGAACAAGGTTCTATACACAATGTAGCATAATTTCAGCCATTTTCAAATCTATTCCTCTAAAAATGAATCCGAGTACTCGACTTGCATTATGTTAGAGGCTTTATTAACCTGTGTTGCTACTTTAAAAGATTTCTGTCTTGTATCTCTAGATTCTTTTGCTCCTCTACCACATTTAGACTCTTATCATCCAAACAGTATGTGGCCTCCTTATTCTTAGCACCAAACTGCACGAGCTAATACATCCAAATTGAAATTCACTGTGTGAAGAGGTTTAATAATTATCTAGGTGGGGCTTTTGGAACCAGTATCTGCCATGGAGTGGTTGACTGAAAACCTCCTGCAATGTTAATGGAAGCTTGTTTAAAATTAAACCATTAACTTAGCAGAACATGCATGGACAAGCTTTTTTGTTGAAATTGAATTAAAGCTTTTGAATTCAGTTCGAAAGTGACCTGATTGAAGTTAGATGCAAGAATAGCATTTTTTCCTTGAAAAGGGAGTTTGTTCTGAGCTGTTAATTGAATAGGTTATCTCAGTGTAAGGGTTTCAGTTTGTGGAAACTTATAGATCAGGATTGTTTGGTTATAACTCTGCATTCCTTATTCAAAGCTGAGTTAGTCTAAGATCTCAGTTGTGAGAGTCAAAGGAAAAGGCTTCATTGCTCACAGGACCAAAACTGAAATGAATAAGTCAATTTAGAAAAGGAAAGTTTCTCTGGATTTTAATTTACTGTAAAGAGTAGGCGGCATGGTGGCTCAGTGGTTAGCACTGCTGCCTCACAGTGCCAGTGACCTGGGCTCAATTCCACCCTCAGGTGACTGTGTGGAGTTTGCGCATTCTCCCTGTGTCTGCGTGGATTTCTGCTGGGTGTTCTGGTTTCCTCCGACAGTCCAAAGATGTCCAGGCGAGGTGGACTGGCCGTGCTAAATTGCCCACAGTGTTCAGGGGTGTGCAGATTAGGTGTGTTAGCCATGGAAATTGCAGGGTTACGGGGGCTGAGGTGCTCTTTGGAGGGTTGGTGCGGATTTGTTGGGCTGAAGAGCCTGCTCCCACACAGTAGGGATTCTATGTAGATGGAATTTTATTTTGCCAGGTGTCTTAAATCTTTTAAATGGTGTTATTTGTAGACAGAATATAAAATAAGACAAACCAATCTTTCGTTTTTAAAGTAAACTTTTGTCTAATTGTTAAAATCAAATCTGCACCCTGGTGTGCTTATGGTTCAGTGAAAGACCGACATGTTAATTTGTGGAAAAAAAAACAACTTATGGTCTATCAAACCAAATTTTATTCTGGGATCTGGCTTGTCCAACAGTAATGTCAGTTGCGATCATATCATCACACTTGATTCTCCTAACACATTGTCTAAGTCTGCAAATATCTTATCCTTTTACAGATTTTTTTTAAAAACACTTAGAAAAATGTCTACTGTCTTGTTTCCAGTAAAGTAAGGCCTCAGCTGAGGAGACTGAAAAAGAATCTGATGAATAGAAAAAGAAATAAGATAACAATGAATTCTAAACTTATCAGTAATGCAGAAGCATTGTAGGACTCTGGCGTGTTCAAAAGTTATTGGTTACCTACCAATGCATTATTAGTTCAATAATTTCTACAGCATTTCTCGAATAATATACATGACTTAACAAAAATCTTACCATCTCATATCGGGCTCTGGTCCTTTCATTTTGAAATCTGGCAAATTCTCTTCTATCATGAATAGTGACAATCAGTTTCCAAATGGCAAGTAAAGCAATGCCCACGGTCAGAATACTACCAACTACTGCTATCAATACGGTTACGGGGTCAGTTTCACTCGCACATTCTGTAAAATAAGAACAGATCATTAAATAAAAGAATTGCTCAATAAGTTTACTTCATCCTGCAAAAGCAGAACTCAAACTCTAGCACCCTGCAATAAACGCACAGATTTTGTTTTTGGAATATTTCCTGCAAAACACTGTTGTTACTCCTAAGTATTTTATAAAAACTAGAACTTCTTGTTGAAATTGGCTTCAAGAGTGAAAATATTTTGGATACTGGATGGGTATGGGGTTGGAACTTCAGCTCTGAGTTAAGCATGACTATCTACCATCTGATTCATCCTCAGCAAGTAGCACAGGAGACGGATTGAATCATTGGCAACAATGGGATGGACCAAAAGCTTCGGCTTCAGTTTTTCATTATTCAACTACATAGCTCTAGAATAGCCACATCCTAACACCAGAGCAGTAGGTTCTAGATTTTTGCAATAATGAAAACTTCATTGTGAAAATGGTGCAGGAGTCCAAAAATCAACTCTGAACAGCTTTGGATTCCTTATGTAAGGAAAGAATTGTTAGCTTTACAGGCAGTCCAGAGAAAGTTTCCAGATATGGATGAGCTGTCTTATGAGGAGAGATTGAGTAGGTTGGGCCTGTGCTCATTGCAGTTTAGAAGAATGAGAAGCAACCTTATTGAAACATACAAGATTCTTAGGAACTTGCCAGGGTGGATATAGATAAAGGTTGTTTCCAATTTTGGGAGAGTCTAGGACCACAGTGCATATTCTCATATTAAAAAGTCATCCATATAAGAAAAGATGAGGAACTTCTTGAAGGTTTTGAATCTGTGAAATTCTTTATTGGGTCATTAACTGTATTCAAGGTGATATAAAGAGATTTTATCAATAAGAGAATCAAGGATTATGGGGAAAGGGCAAGAAAGTGGAGTTGAAGATTATCAAATCAGCCATGAATGACAGAGCAGACCCAATGGGCTGACTGGCCTACATCTGCTCCTATGTCTTATTGTCTTAGAGGTCCCTATGTGAACATGAACCTACCATTTTGCAAGGGTTGGGAATGGGGCAAGGTTGCATTTTGTACATCTGTGTTTCGTGGAGGCAGCTACCCATGTAAATCAGCAGCTATCTCCAGTCACATCTGCTTTTGGTAACCCAAGCGTGTGAAACATGATGTGACCCAACAGGCACAGGTTTACAAACAGATCTGTCAAAAGTGTCAACAAAGAAAAAATTGTCAAGGTATTTAAAATTCCTGACTGTCAAATCCTTGAACAAAAATGTATGATGCATTTAAAAAAAATTCCGGCTATTTCACTCTGTTCTTGAGAGCTACCATTACTGGATTAGTCCTGCATGACTGATATCACAACCTTCTATTATCATTGCAGTATAGCTGCCATTTCATAATTTGATTGACAGTTTTAAGTAGTTATAGACTCTTTGAAGTGGGACCATGAAGACTAATGGACATTTTTACATGAGATTACGCACTTTAATGAAATGTTGTGGTTATGAGATTACCTAGTTGAAGGAAGTTAAACGTAGCAAATTTGTTTTATGAGTGGGAGTATTTTTAACATAGTGAACCCATCAAAAGACACTTAGGTTGTTATTTCATTTCATCTTTCCATGGATCCTGTGGTCTGCCCATGATAGATGTAAAATCAATGAGTGGAGGGAACATGGATTGGTGTACTGAGTTGACATGATAGTTTAGAATAGAGTGTAAGAGGATTTTGGGCTATCTGGAGAAGCATAGGTTTGCATAAAGAGAATAAGGTTATGAAGCTGTTGGGACACGATATGCATGGAGGAGGCAAAGGGTATAGTGTGGGAGATGTGATTGCGAGCATTAAGAGCTGTTCTTTGTTTCATCACCTTTTTAAAAACATAGTGCTAGAGCAGAAAGGCAGGCCTTCTGTCCAGCATCCGCCTCCACAAACACACCCCTGGCAGCCTCCGCATTCTTTCAATGTTGCCAGGCCCAATTCCCAGAGAACACATTGACCCTGTGATGAAAATTCCAACATCCATGACCACTTCTCTCAGATCCTATATGTGGAGCCAGGAAATGTCCTGCCTTTGATAGTCTGATGGAATATAGATTTTTCTAGGATCTAGGTAAGCCCTGAAAGTAATTAAATTGGGCACTGTTCAGTTAATATGGAAGGTCATTCTATATGCATAATCACGATGTTGATTTAGATGAAGAAATGGAGGAATCTAAAGAAGTTTGATCTACAAAGGCGGTTTGATAGAATTCAGACAGGAAACCATTGATCAATATATCCCTGCTGAACTGAAAACAAAGAATGAGAACTTCACAAGGGCAATTCACTGTTGAAAACATACCTGGAAACTGTTACTGATGACAAGGAAAGGAAAGCCATGATGTAGAGATGCCAGTGTTGGACTGGGGTGGACAAAATCAGAAGTCTCACAACACCAGGCTATAATCCAACAGGTTTATTTAAATTCACAAGCTTTCAAAGCACTGGTCCTTTGTTAGCTGAAGTGGAAGGAAGCGCACAGGCGCAGAATATACAGGCAGAGAGATAACAGCAAGATAATTCCAGGTAATTAAGAGTGTCAACAGATAAGTACATATAGTATGAGTTGAGTGTTGAAAGGCTGAATAACAAGTCTTTGCAAATGATCAGAAGCGTCAAACAGGGTGAGTAAAGCATCAACAGTTGAATAACAAGTGAAGGGTGGACCTATGAACAGATTAATTAAGGTAGAGAAATAATTACAAATACTCAAAAATAAGATGGTACTAGAGACAAACTAAATGGCTGAAATAACGAGTAGCCATCAGTAGGTATTAAGAAAAGAAAAAGCAAGCGAGAGCTGGGATATTAATTAAAGAGGAAGTGCAATAACAGTCCCACTGCAGGAGGAGAAACATTGATAAGCTTTTGAACGACCAGGTTACATGAAGCACTAGAGGGAGTCGACAGCTTGGTGGTATTACCAATGGACTGTTAATCCAGAGACTGAGTAATGTTCTGGGGACCCGGGTTTGAATCCTGCCCTGGCAGATGATGAAATCTGAATTCAATAAAAATCTGGAATTAAGGGTCTAATGATGACCACGAATCTGTTGCCAATTGTCAGGAAAAAAACCCATCTGATTCACAAATGTCAACCAGAATTTTAACTTCCTGAAACCAGGATGAAAGTTGGCCATTCAGTTGGCAGAAGATTGAAAGTAGATTTTGCTTTCTAATGGAAGGTGGCATAAACCTATTTTTAATCCATCAGCATGATATGCATACACTCTAAAGCACAACAGAGAACGAGATATTTGCCTGCTTCACATCTGCAGTTAATGTCAGGCAGAGAAGATGGTTTAAGTATATTCAGTGCTGCTTCTGAAGCAGCAGGAAAGGAACCAACAGTCCATGACACAGGGCCAAGCTACACTAAAGACCAGATTACTGACAAGAGCCACCAGACGGGCCTAGTGGTATTATTGCTGGACTGTTTTCCAGAGACCCAGGCAATGTTCTAGGGACCTTGGTTCGAATCCCACCCTGACAAATGGTGGAATTTGGATTCAATAAATATCTGGAATTAAGAGTTTAATAATGACCATGAAACCATTGTCAATTGTCAGGAAAAACCCATCTGGTTCACCAGTGTCCTTAAGGGAAGGAAACTGCCATCCTTACCTGGTCTGGCTACAAAATGGTTGACTCTTCACCGTCCTCTGGGAAACTGGGGTGAAATGGACAGTAAATGCTTCCCTAGCCAGCGATGCCCTCATCACGTGAACAAATTTTTAAAAATGTCAGAAAGGTTGACTAAGAATTGCTGAGTTGCTGAGTCGAAGATGACTGAATCTTCAGGGATAGTATGTGAAGGGAATTAGCAAATTAATTAAGGAATGAGGAAAACAAAGGGCTATAGAAAGCTTGTTTTGGGGAGGGACTATAAGAAATACAGCATTTTGGTTCCTCAAGCCTGTCTCACTATTCCACAAGATCATGGCTGAACTAGCCCTGGTCTCCTCTGTGCCAGATCATTATAGCCCTCAACTCGTTGATATTTCAAAAATCAACCTACCTTCTCTTTAAATACATTTAGTGAACCAGCCTCCACAACACTCTGATTTCCAGACATTCACTACTCTCTGGGAGAAGAAATTTCTTTGCATCTCAGTTTTAAATAAATGTCCCTTATTCTGTGACCATGTCCTCTAATTCAAGATAACTCGATTAGTGGAGAGACTTTCTCAACAACTATACTGTCAACTCCTCAGTTTTATTTATTTCAGTAAGATCACCACTCTCACTTCCAAACTCTAATGAATATAACCTTAACCTGTTTAGACATTCTTGATAAGTCAACCCCTTCATACAAGGAATCAGCTTTGTGAATCTTTTTTGAACTGCCTCCAATGTCAGTACATCCTTTCTTAAACATAGGAACAAAATCTGTACACGGTTCTGCAGGTGTGGCCTCACTAAGTATAGTTGTAACAAGACTTTCCTACTTTGAAACTTAATCCCCTAGCAATATAGGCCAAAATTCCATTTGCCTTCTGAATTACTTGCTGCATCCACATGCTAAAGTTTTGAGTTTCACTCACAGGAATACCTAGATCCCTCTGCATTGCACTTTTTTGGAGTTGCTATTCATTTAAATAATAGTCTGCATTCTGATTCTTCCACCAAAGTTCATGACCTCTCACTTTCCTACCTTAAATTCATCTGCCGAGCTTTTTATCCATACTCACATGTAAAAAGAGGATGAGGTGGTGTAAATTGCTAAATGAATCACTTCATTGACGAAGATCAAGAACTACATGTATTTGGTGTTACAGGTAAAGGTAGATAAGACAGAGGAAGGGTCACTCGACTTGAAATGTTAACTCTGATTTCTTTCCACAGATGCTGCCAGACCCACTGAACTTTTCCAGCAATTTATGCTTTTGTTTAAGATGGAGAAATGGTGTTTACGGAGGGGCTTATCATGGGGAGAATGAATGAATCAGGGATTGTCCTTACTCTCCAGAATGTAGTAGTAGGAAGATTTGTATTAATATTTAATCAGCCTATTTAGACATGCTATGACACATCTTCAGAACAGGTGGGATTCAAACCCAGGCCTTCTATTCCAGAGGTAGGAACTGCTACTGCACAAGAAGAACTCTCGGATCCCTGGAGTTTTCTCATGAGGACTGTAGTACACTTATGCTTGTTCAGTTGCGGTATTGACAGACACGGACCCAAATCTCTTGATTTCTGAATAGTTAAATTTCAGACGTATAAAGAAGATCAGGACACTGCAAAAGTTCTGATTTGTGAGCTATGTTAGCATTGCCTGAGAAGCTCTGATGGGCTGATTCCAAATTGTCCGGGGCTCTGTGCAGAAGTCCCCAACTCTAAGCTAAACAGAGACTTGGGACGGATCCACAACTTATCTTGATAGTTACCCAGGACGTATCACACTTTTTAAAATATGGTCTAGCGTCTGGGTAATTCTACAACTGATGCCCTAATCACCGCAACAGCCATCTAAAAACCCAACTGATGACTCACCCAGCCACCTTCTGACTATGCAATTAGCCCCTAACTCTTAACTACCCTCCCCACCCAATCACACCTGACTACTCTGCCTAATCAATCACCAAACCACCTCCCTAGACCTGCACCAGTCAATCGCCCTGATCATGTGACTAAACCCCCAAGCAAAACCAAGAAACCCCTAACCAACCAACTAACCTAACCCACCTGATTACCCCATTGACCAGACAAACCCCTGACCACCAGAACAGCCTCCCACCAACCTATTCGACCAAATGGCAATCCACTGATCCAACCTAATTAACCCTTCAACTGCCCAACTACACCCCCTTGACCACAGCCGTGTTTACCCCACTGAAGCCCCTGAAAAACTTGCCACCAATCACTTGAAGAATCCCATTCCCAACCCAATCCAACTACATCCAATCGAATACATATTCACCCAGCTACTCAATCATTTAAAGTCTATCCTGTAAATGTATGTGAATATTTCATCTATTGCTGCAAAAAAATGGGGCATGCCTTCACATTCCCCACTGACTCTATTGCAATCAGCTGGGCTTCCCAGATGTTGCAACATGCAATTCTGCTGCAGCCAGGTTTGGGAGACCCCAAAAGAAATGGGCAGTAGCACTGCATTGGGAAATTTTTCACCAGCAGTTAGAATGGGCACAGCTTGGTCATGTACACAGTGAGTATTTTCTCTGACGTTGGAAGCTGAAGGATGTGGCACTGGAAAGTGGATGAGGCAGGGAGTGAGCGGGATACAGAAAACGCAACTTACATAATCTCTGATGAAAACAAGATGATATAAACAGTTGTATGATGTGACTTGCAGCAAGAGACACAACATTCCATAGAGGTTTGCATGAGCTACGTGTTGATGTCTGGTAGCCACACTTAAAAAGTAAACAGTGCACGTAGCAATTTTCATATTATATAACACATTTTTTATTTCAGCAGTCACTGAACACTGAACCCTGGCATAGAACAGGTTATTTTCTGTCCTTAACTGACATCAGCATACAGGCATGTCCAGTTCTATACAATGGAAACCTTGGCTGGCTTGTTAGCTGCTCAGCTCACGGCTGCTGACAGGAACTGTAGTTCCCCATAATGTGCTGAAATAGCTTATAAACAGAGCATGAGGATTGCACTCACAAAGTTTTAGAGCAGCGAGACTCCTTTAAATAGGATTCTCTGAGATAACCAAGAATTAAAATATTCAGCATCACAGATTTAAAATTCTTAAATTTCTTGTGTCACTACAAAAAAGATTCCGTTGTCTGTTATATTTGTTAACAATTTTGACAACCAAAGTTCAAAGCAAATAGTTGCTTTTATGTTTTTGTAAGCTTTTTCTCAAACACAACAAGGTATGATGAACAGTTCTGCAAAAAAAATCAAATAATTTACTTTCTTTGTGGGTTTGGAAATGCCACAGGATTTTTAACATTCACCCGGAGAAGGGTGTGCCTTCAAATTAGTGTCTAATCCAAAAAAACACTACTCCACAGCACTGTGCCAATTTTCATCATATGCTTAAGTCCTGAATTAGTGTTTGAATTCATGACATTCAATAAACAGAATTGATAATTTTGTGTCTAAGTGTCATTACATTTGAAATATTTTCCAAATGAAGTACTATGGGGGAATCAAATAATATTATGACCTGCAAATACAACAGATAACAAAAAAGAAATACAATGATTCACCTTTAACTCTGGAAATAAAGATCAATCAAGAGAGTGAAGAGGAGAATATTGAAATGTCAGCTTTCAGTGGTGGTGCTATGAATTTCCATCTAACTCTACTTTTCAGTTTTTAACGCTGTATACACAGACAGAATATATATTACATATGAGAGACCTCCCTGCCTGACTTATTTTCTTACTTAGCAGCAAGCTATGATAAAACAGCACAAGTCAGTGAGGCAGACAAGGTTGAGCAGATGCATCCAAGATCTATGCTGTGCAACAGAATGAGAACACAAGTATGTGTGTGTGAGCGGAAATGAGATTGGGTTTGTATGAGAGAGAGAGAGAGAGAATTCATTAAAAAAAATAGAAAATACACTAACCTGGTTCCTTTAGAGCAGTAAGGACAGATTTTCCACTGATGTGTTCTGAATAAGTAAACCTCATGACACAGTCATTTTCAGTTTTGTACAAACAGAGAACTGCATCCTGATCATCGGTGTCTGAAAAAAAGATGGGAACAATCTTCAGCCCTCAGGCAAGAGCCAGCTACAACTTCAACACAACAGGGGAAGGCTAAAAGCCCCATTGTTTTCTGTGAAATGCACAGCCAAAGGGTATCAGTGATCTAATTATCCTTAATAAGAACAATGTTCTTTTTACTAGTTTCTACATATTGCTGATGCTATTTTAGTCTTTGTGCAACTTTGTAGTTTCGTCAAGTTTGGAGGACACAGACTTTCTCCGCATCTGTAATTCATTAGGATTTCAAGATACACTTTTGAAATAGAATGGAGCAGCATGAACAAGCAAAACTATTATAGAAAAGCCACAACTTGGGAGCATTCTTAGACATTACTAAATTATAAATGCCTTAAATCTCAATCAAATTAAGAGGCATCCTTCAAAAATGACAAGAATCCATTGTTTAAAATCGTAAGCTTGGTCTATTCAAGTCAACATTCCAATTCTTGAACGTAAAATCTTGCATTTTAACAATTTTGTATTACTTACATGCCCTTTAAAGAGTCTAATTATTGATGGCTTATTCTAAGTGCACAGATAACTGGTTTATCATTAGAAATAGAACACTGAGGTTTTATCATTTACCAAAATCACAACCGTAATTCAGAGATTTTGATATAAATAATCATTTTTAAAAAAATAATCATAAACAGCTTGTCCTATTCATTGAATCATGTTGACACTGGGTTAAACTGGTCAGTAATTCTCAGTGACTTACTACCATAACCAAAATGTAACACTAGCCAGAAACCAACAGGAATGGCATTCTGCCAGTTAAGTGGAAATGAACATTTCATGTCACGATTTGGAGACTAGAACCAGTTCATTGTTCTGCGTGCGTACATTACTCAGGGTTCAGGGTAAACTACATGGGATACTGTAGTGATTGGAACCAGGGCTAGGTGGATCTCATTGACTATGAGATCCTTGATTGGAATTGTTAACCTGGGCCAATCAGGGAGTCTGAGCTGGGAGATATAAACAGGAGATTCAGAAGGTCTCAACAGTCTAGGGACTGGCTTTGAGGTAGTTGGTCAGAACCCATGTATTGTGCGCATTAAATAAAGGGTGACTTGGTGACAGGATACTGGTCTCTGTGCAGTTATTTCAGTGGTGACGACAGAAAACAGTATGTGCCTTAAGAAAATTCATTTGCAACTGTTGTCTTTGAGTTAAGGTAAGCATTTCTGGCATCATGACTTTATTTGGGAAGCTTGACTTGTTTGATCCTGCCAAAGACTGGGCCCAATATGTGGAAAGAATGGAATTTTTTTTCCTAGGCAAATGATATTGGGGCGGATGAAAAGCAATGAGTAATCCTACTGACTGCTTGCAGACCTGCAACATTTTTGGTTACTAGGAGCTTAGCTATGCTTGAGGCACCAGATACTAAAACCTTTCAAGAGTTGACAGATTTAATTCAGGAATATTATAACCCCAAACCTCTTCTAACTCAGACGTTGCTTTCCTGCTCCTCTGATGCTGCTTGGCCTGCTGTGTTCATCCAGCTCTACACCTTGTTATCTCAGATTCTCCAGCATCTGCAGTTCCTACTATCTCTCTAACTCAGATGTTATTGGTTTTATTCAGCTGTTCAAGAAGCAGGGGAGTCCGTATCAGAATTTTTGACAAGGTTAAGATGACTGGCAGAGGCTTGTGATTTTGGGTTAACCTTGAATGAGATGCTGAGAGACCATATGGGATGTGGGATTGATGATGTAACCATGCAGAAGCTCTTTCTAGCCGAAGCCTAACTGGTCTTCAAACAGGCACTACATGTGGCTTTATCATTAGAACATGCAGCAAGTGGAACATGGGAGCTACACAGCATCCCAATGAAAGTGGACATCCTCACCTATCCGACTGAGCTTGGGGAACACCACTTGAGTGTAGGCAACCGCAGGGCATATCCTGAGCAGAGGGACCCTAGCCTCCAGCAAAACCCCACAACAAAACCAAACCTCGGCCAAATGGCTAAAAAGGTTCTTCAGAATCCAGACTGGCAAGCCATTGGCAAGCTGCCATGCAGACTCAAGACAGCAAAGGAATCCAAGGAGGCCTAACTTGAGCAAAAGAACTCTTAGGCTGATATCCAGGAGAGTGCACACCCACTAAAAGTTCCCTACATGTGGATTGGACAAGTTAAATTGCTTAGGAACGTCCAAATCAGAACTAATTAACATAAATGTCTAGTTAAATGGTCACCTGGTTTTCACTGGAGGTAGATACTGGCGCAGCTGTATCAGTGAACCAGTGTCACTGAACCAGTTTTTAACGAGATTCGCTCTGGACTCCAACCCTGACTTTTGCACAAGAGCTCGGCCAGATTGAGAATTTACACCAGGGAACCATTTCTAGATTCTGGTTCCGGTTTCCTATGAAAAGCTGTTGTTGCAGTTACCACTGATCATAATAAAAAGCTTGAGCCCTAGAGTGCTGGGGCAGAATTGGCTGAGAAAGATTCATCTGGATTGGCTCAATATTTTTCAATTGAAAAATAGCTGCCTCAGTAAAGACCTAATGAAATAACCAGAAATTTTTCTGGAAGGGCTTGGGACTATCAAAGGGGCCTGTCCAGTGTCATTTGCCTGATGGGCAAAAGTAGAGGCAGAAGTCAGGATTCCGGAAAGCAAAGGAATTATCAAACAGGTGCACTTTGTGGAATGGGCAGAACCGGTTGTATCGATTGTGAAGGCTGATGGCTCTCTTCACCTTTGTGGAGGATTTTAAGAAAACGGTAAACCGTTTCTCGCAGCTGGATAAATACCTAATCCCTCACATAGCAGACTTATACATGAAACCAGTGGTGGGGTGTCCTTCACGAAGCTTTTTGTACTTGCAAATGCGACTAGATGAGGAATCTCAGAAGCATGTCGCAATTATCACCCATAAGGGTTTGTACCAATATATAAGACTGCCATTTAGAGGATCATCAGCCTGCGCCCTTATCCAGTGGACAATAGAGAACATTTTACAAGGGCTATCCCAGATTGCCATTCACCTAGACGACGTGCTAATAACCAGGAAGACCAATTTAGGGCACTTGGAGAACTTGTATATAAACATTTCTCTCAGGCAGACGTACATCTTAGACAGGAAAGACACATGTTCCAGGTGTCCCAAGTGACCTACTTGGATTACAGAGTTGACAAAACCGAGTTACACCTGTTGGAGGATAAATAGAGGGCGATCAAAGGAGCCTCAGCTCCCATGTCTGTACTAGAGCTTAGGTCTGTCCTTGGATTGGTGAATTATTATGGAAAATTTATACATAAATGGCATCCATCTTGACACCTTTACACTTGCTATTGAAAGGCATCCGCTTTGAAAATGGTTGTGTAGCCAAGAAGTAGTGTTTAGGGATGTGAAAAGCAGCTTTCATCGTCTAAGGTGTTGACCCACTATGATTCCAAGCGAGAGGTGGTGCTGACATACAATGCCTCTCTGTATGGTATCGGGGTAGTGTTGGCTCACTGGTGGCCCAACGGAGAGGAACACCCGATAGCGTATGCTTCCCGGAGTTGGCTGACACTGGCTGCAAAAATGCCTGGATAGAGAAAGGGGGGTTTGGCTGTGAGGAAGTTAAATTGTCATAGTACTAGACCACAAATCCCTGCTGGGGCTACTTAAAGAAGACAAGGCTGTGCCACCCATTGCTTCTGGTAGAATTCAGCATTGGGGCATTATTCTCAGCGCGTACAAGTACAAGTTAGAATGCCATCCTGGAAGCCAAGTGGCGAATGTGGATGTCTTCCACTGGCAGATACTCCACCAGTGATGCCTCCTCTAGTAGAGTCTATTTTGGTTTTAAGCTTTCTGGGCATCCTTCCTGCCACTGCTGATAATATCCGACTGTGGACACAAGTGTTGTTGGACCTTCTGAATCTCCTGTTTATAGCTGTCAGCCAGGGCTCCCTGATCGGCCCAGGTTAACAACTCCAATCAAAAATCTCAGTCAGTGAAATCCACCTGGTCCAGATTCCAATCACGACATCCCTACCCCACAAAGTCTGGGTATGTAGGCTTGTTCTTTCTGTTGTAGCTTCTCCTGGGACGTTTTTGTCCCAGGTCCCGTTCCTCTGACTTGGATTCGGACACGGACGCTTTGTACCAGACTGTAGCCCATCTCTCGCGCCTAGAGGGTCTCAGAAGGGTTTCCTCCTCTTCTGCCAGTGGTAACAGTATCAATGCTGTATCCATCTCAAACTCTGAGGTTTTCTGGACAGTACATGGAGGGGGAGATTGTAAGCAGTTTACAAACAGTTTACAGAGAGATATTGATAGGTTAAGTAAGTGGGCAAATAGAGCATAATGTGGAAAAATATGAAATTGTTCATTTTGGGAGAGCAAAAGAAGAGAGTATTATTGAAATGGAGAAAAACTGCATAAGTCTGAACATAAAGGAAGTTGAGGGTGCTTGTGTATGAAACACAGAAAGCTAGCACACAGGTTCACGATGTAATCAGGAAGGCTAATGGAATGTTACCCCTTGATCAAGGGGGTTGAAGTATAAGAGTAGGGAAGTCTTATTGTAACTGTACAAGATGCTGGTGAGAATACATTTGGAGTACTGAGTAGTTTTGATTCCTTTGTTTAGGAAATATATCATTTCATTGTAGACAGTTCAGAAGAGGTTCACTAAGACGATACTTGGCATGGAGGAACTGGCTTATGAACAAAGGCTAACCGGTTGGGACCTTATACTCAGTGCAGTTTAGAAGAATGGAAGTTGATCTCATTGAAACGTATAGGATTCTTAAGGCGTGACAGAATAAATTCTGAGAGAATGTTTGCTCTCATGGGAGAGAACAAACAGCAGAAGGCCTAGTCTCAGACTAAAGGGGTGGCATTTAAGACTGAGATGAGGAGGATTTTCTTCTGTCTGAGGGTTGGAAGTCATTGGGACTCCCTGCCGAGGAGTGGGGCAAGGGTTATGGAGAAAGGACAGGAAAGTGAACATGAGGAACGTTGGATCCAG